GCAGGGGACCCAATGTCAAGCCTGATGAAGCCCAATCCCTGGTGCTACAGCGCTCAGTTACGCCACATTATGGCCGCTATGGGCTCCATGTCCTCTGCCCTCTCTCAGACCATTTCACAAGCCTTACTGGCGCATCCTTTGGCCGCAGAAGGCTCGGCCATGCCAACGCACTTAGCATGTTCCGCTCCAGGCCCTACAGGGGACGCTCCAAAAAAGGCTACGGCCAAATCCAGGCAATTAAGTTTCCCTGCCTCCATAACCAATATGATGGCTGTACTCACGACCACCCATGATAGCGTGCCTATGTCACGCAAAAGAGCCTTTCCGCACCAAGCAGAACGGGTGCGGCAGTGGAAATGTGCCAGAGCACAAAAAGAGAGTGACTCCGACTCAGAAATCGAGTCAAGTGAGGAGGCTGATGCTGAGTCTGTGGGTGACTCTGACGATGAGATAGGAGGGCAGGATGCTGACCCTTTTGTTCCCGCTCTATCAGGGATGGTAGTGAGTGGCTCTAGGAGCGACTCCCCCGCTACCGTGGGCTCCACCCTCATGGATCCGTCTGGGGAACCCATGTTTGACTCGAATGCTCTCCATCATCCGAGGTCGGCGGAATGGCTCCCAGTGGACCATGTGGCTCAGTACCTGGAGAATTGGGTACGGCGCCCCCTTAGCAAGGTGGCGCACAACAAACTCAGGGCAGAATGTAATAGACCTCTGGTACCCAGTAAAGTCTGTGAGACCCATATAGTTGATCCCAAGATGACACAATTCCTCTCCAAGATGGGTTGGAAACCCCGCAAGGGATTAGATTCAGCACTAAAATCATGCCAGGATAAACACCTGGACATATTTGGTCCCTTGGACAAACTTTTTGACCTGGCTGAATTAACCAGAGCCGAAAACAGGCAGGTTGACCGGAGGAACTCCGTGGCTTGGTGCAGAGGGTGATCTGCATAGCGGGCAGTGTTAACACCTCCCTGCTAGGTCTTTCACTCAGGATGGGGTGACATTTAACATCTCCAGACGCACTAAGATGGCTATACGGTCTGTGTCGTATCCGAGTTTTCCAGTTACCCCGGTGTTATGTCCAGTGACCTGTTTGCGGGAATATGAGCTTCGGAAGAGGGCTCATCGTTCTGTTTCGTCCCCTCAGCTCTTTCTCTTGATTCGTCAGCCATTTGCCCGGTGTCCAGCACTAGCCTGGCTCGTTGGGTGAAATGGGTGATGTCACTGGCTGGTGTGGATACGTCCATCTTTAGCGCCCACTCCTCATGGGGGGCATCAGCCACGTCTATCGTGACTTCGGGGGCACGACTGGAAGACCTGACGAGGATGGCAGACTGGTCCCGTGAATCCACTTTTAGGGAATTTTACTTTCGGCCTATGCCCCACGTTTTCTCTTCGGTTATTGATCAGCTTTAAACTTGCAATATGAGCCTCCGTGTCTTGACATAAAATTACACGATTTTGCTATTTCATGACGAAAAGTCATGATTTTATGAAAGACACGGAGGCGAGTATTGTCCCACCCTATTACGTTTTTCTTCCACTGTTGTTTTTTCCCTCTAAGGTATGTTTCCAGGGGGTGGTGGGTATATGTGATGCGCTCTGTGTTATAATATTACCTAATATTTGCATCTAGACTGTTAATGCTATGTTTGTCTGGTGGGTTTTTTCTTTGTCTGACATTATGGGCACTGTATTGTTTCAGTTTTATCAATACATTATGTCTTGGCATGTGCACTTTGGTTTAATTACCGATTTAACCGTTGGGCTCCTGTTTTTTATATTTTCACAGGTTGTTTCTGTGCTGTTTGTGCTGTTAAGAGACCTTCACTACTTCCCACAAGGCTTCACCACGTTGGCTGGAGATCTATGGATTATGTTGTGATGTGCTCCTCATTGTTGGCACTTCTCTATTCGTTTATTGATTGGTCCCAGTTCGCATATGGTTCCTGATCGGTATCCGGCTGGATTTCAGGATGGTTTGTTATGCCGTGGTTTGGACTGATTCATCGGTTCCTGTTTGCTGGTTTGGTGACGCATCTCCAAAGAAAGAGGAAATATGTGGGGAGGTGCTGACTATTATACTGGAACTTGGTATGGGAGTGGTCTATCACTATGGTTACCATTTTTTCTTACTGTTTGTATTCCTTGCTGCTATTGGTGGACAGTAAAGAAATGGTTAAGCAATACTCGCCTCCGTTTCGTTCATAAAATCATGACTTTTCGTCATGAAATAGCAAAATCATGTAATTCTCTCTATCTCTACACAGTTTCTAATCCTTTCAGCCAAGGTCTCAATTGCTAACACAAATAATAGTGGTGACAATGGACACCTCTGTTTTGTCCCATTGGAAAGTTCAAAACTTTCAGAGACGAAACCAGTTACAGAGACTGTTGCTGTAGGAGAACAGTATAGAGGAAACACAGCCCTGATGAAAGGTTCTGGAATATTAAATTGCGACATAACTTTTCTCAAGAAGCGCCAGTGTATCCTATCGAATGCCTTCTCCGCATCTAAAGATAAGAGCAAAGAAGGTATGTGATTTAGTTTAATTTGATGTATTAAATTTATATAACAACTTGTACTATCCGGGGCCTGACGATTTAAAACAAAACACACCTGATCAAAGACACATACATACAGACAGACATACACACAGACACACATACACATACACACATGCATACAAACAAACACATATACAAAATGTTTAAGTCACCTCCTGTTTCCTACCTCTTAGGTGCAGGAGGGTGACTTACCCTGGGGTCCAGTGATGGCTCAGGTTGATGGGAGTCAGAGTTCTGACTCTGAATCCCTCTCCTTCCTTTTGCGCAGCTCTCTGATAGCTGGGAGGAGTGACCGGAGCAGTCACTTCCTCCCAGCAGTGACCTCATCACAGGGGGCCCGGTTGCGCTGTTAAAGCATCGCAGTGCTGACCAGGCCCCCTGGAAATCCATACCCATCGAGTGGACCTAACAGCATGGGCCACTCGATGGGCCAGTTGAAGGTGCGGCCTCGGTGGTTTCCCGCGCAGGCCGGGGCCGTCAAACATGGGGACGGGTACACAGTCGTAGGGGTCTGCAGGGCTTCTTGGCCCCTTGGAGTGACGGGCCCGGTCGCAGATGCGACCCCTATATGTACGCCACTGAATACCAGAAATAGCAAACCAGAAAATGCACTAATAGGGAACAAAGAACTACAACAGGGCAATGATTCAGATCAAGTGATCCTTTTTATAGTGTGGCCCTTTAAATGAGAGCCATGATTTTTTTCAAAGGTACATTATGCAGAAATGACTTAATTATTTCTGTTGTGGTCTGAACATTATTAGGATTTAATGCCAAATTATATTATTTTTTTGTATCATTTATCAATTGTAATACTTATTTTAATAGGGTGTGTAATTTTTCACCCTCATCATTTATCACATGTTCAATTTTGGATTGAGATATTTTATGCCGCAATTTAGAGGCTAAGAATGTGGATGCCTTGTTACTTTTTGAATAAAAAATTAGTTTAAATCTCTTTAACATCAAGGATGTGTACTACAATTGGAAGGTGTTTTATTTTTGATTCAGAGATTTGAAGCCAAAGACGAAGAGGGGTTAATTTTATTAGTTTATTCAATTTATATAATTATTTTTCTAATTCTTGTAAATTTTTTGTTCTAATTATCTTTAGATAGGAAGTCCTTAGTAAAAAATGGCCTCTTAGTACTACTTTATGGGCATTCCACAAGAAAGTATCAAGTACATTTGGGGCTGAATTTTCTTTAAAATAATTTTTAATTACTTCTTCAGCAGGCATCCTATTTTCCAAACCTGTGACTAAGTAGTCACTAAGATGTCATTCTTTGTTCGGGTTTAATCAGGAAGACTCTTCTAGATGCAGCGTAATGGGTGCATGGTCTGACCAGTTAATGTCCAAAAATTGGATGAAATTATATAAGGTATATTTTGTTCATTTGTCAAAAACCTGTCTATGAGGGAGTACATGTTACTGGCAATGGAATGATAGGTATAGTCTTTTTAATTTTACAAGAAACAAATCCACCTGAAAGGGTTATTCCAACCCAGAATTTTTTTTAGAAAAATGTAAAAACAAATATATAAATGCATATCTATTAGGTACCCCTGTAAAAATCTGCAAAAATATTTAAACTTACCTTAATCCAGCACTGGGCAAACCTGCCGGCGCTGATCTTCCATGGCACGTTGTGGTATCACCCTGCACTTACGCGCTTCAGTCGCAGGCTTCTCCTAGAGAAGTCTGTGATTTACCATAAGTGATTCGCAAGCTCAGAGTGCAAAGTTGTTGTTTTTTTTAACAGAGGGTAGCGGTTGGAAGAGGAAAGCCAAAACATAGCACATACATACTTCTACCACCATGACCACTTCAGTGGTAGAAGTATGTAGCATGTGCAATATGTTAGCTTTTCCTTTCCTCCCACAACCCTCTGTTAAAAAACTTTAACACTCTGAGCTTGTGATTGCAGCGTGTAAGTGGTTGAAATAAACTTTTCAGACATCCTTTTTGGATAGTTAGGCTAACCAGGGTTACTCAGTTGATTTGTAGACCAGCTCACCCACACCTGTATGGCCATCTGACACTCCTATGGTACACCTACAGTTCTGTTTGGGCAGGGACTTGTTCACCTCTTGTATCTCTCATGTTCTGTAAGTAAATTACTCGTTGTCAGAGATCCACAATCTATAATTGTAAAGGCTGTGAAATCTATATAAATGATAGTTGCATTTTGAACATAATATGTGAAAATAAAATTACTGTGCTCTTTTTAAAAAAAACAAAATTAATTAAATCACTTATGGACAGATGAGCCATTGCTCTCAATAATGTAACGATAATGTGTCTGAGTGCACCACGCACCCGCCAGCAGCCTAACCGGGCCGCCATGTTTGTGAAGGGCAGCAGAGGCGGAAGCCAGTGCCGACGTCAGGAAGTCGTGACGTGACCATGACCAGCACACGCCTGACAATGACGAGCACGGGAGCGCGCAGCCCTCAGCTTCCCGAATCGAGCGAGCGCGCGTTCACGAGTCCCTCGGGTTGGTGCTGTGTGCGCGCCGCGGTCAGTATGCCATGGGGATCTGTTGGACTCGGTGCTGTAGCCTCTTCCGTAGAGAGAGCAGTCGCTTGCAGAGAGCAGGAGGAGGGTAAGGTGATGGGGGGGCAGAGGGGCATTGGGTGGTTTTAATATATCCCTCCTTTTTATTGAGACACTGTGGCTCTCAGAGTTAGTGTGTCTGATTGCCTGGACACTGTGGCAGTGAGAGGGTTAATCAGTTTGGGTTTGTAGGTTCTCCCCCCCAGGGGTGCAATGTCTGGCTACTGTCTGTCTATATACTCTCACTCCATTGTTCCTGGTCACATGGAGGATGCTCCCATGGGGGTATGACTGCACACCCTGGGACACAGCACACAATCCAGTGTCACCTGAGCTTCTCTGTCACCTGAGCTGGAGCACCTCCCTGTGCCAGACTGTGTGAGGGTGTCACCATGTCACTGGCATCATGTACTGAGCTGCAGGGATACATAGAAGACATGGGAGCAGTATTGTGTTTAATTTTGTTTGGTTCATTCTAAATGAAAGCCCAGGTTCTAATACAATTCCAACCTCATGCCATCACATCCTTGGAAGTATCAGAAGGATTTGACCTCCCAACTAAAGTCTGCTATTTGTGTATCACTGACTTGTAGCAAAATGAAAAGTAATATATTCACTTACCATGGTGCAAGCTGTTCATTAATTGCCAGTGTAGCAGACAAGGGTAGGTCAATGTTTATTACACCAGAAGCTTTGTTATTTAAAATTACATTTGAGTAACTAAAAGTGTGTTTATTAGGGGATATTTGTAGACTACAGCATTGTTTCTAAAACTCCTTACCTGGGGATCACATTATAAGTTGAACCAAGCTGTTTAATTTACAATTGTATGCAAACACTGAGTTGTATTTTATTTAAAAAAAAAAAAAAAAAGTGTGTTGCACAGCTAGGGCATGACATTTGAACTGAACAATATTATGCATAGTTTCTCATTCAATGATTTAATTCTTTTTTCCTTTCATTTAGTCTTACAAAATCATTAGGCTAGTATAATTTACTAGCGATTATACTGTGTATGTTTGCTTTCAATCTTTCCAGATGGTTAATTTTAAAGATACACTGTAACTGCTTCATCTCATTAAAGTGGCTATAGTGTCAAGAGTCTCCTGGCGTTGTAATTCCATTCAGTTTTAATCTGTGTTGTTCCATTTTAGAGTCCCCAGAAGCCCATTGCCTGTGCTTATTGGGCTAATGAGGATGTATTGGTGTGAGCAGCAATGGGCAGGTGTGATTGACTGAGATTGTCACCTGACTGCCCTCAGCCTATCACAGTGCCCACTGCTGGTATTGATTGGTATGACTGGAAGGAATGATGTAATCTCTGCTTAGCTATACCTCTAGTAGTGGCTGGGTTGTGGGTTGCCAGGAATTTAATATAAAACAGCCAGAAAACTGCTATAACCAATCCAATGAGATGAAATGGTTATAGAACTTACAGACACCCTTTAAATATATTTTCAAGCTAGCCATGACATATTTCCGGCACAATGGCTGCTTAAAACATTTGAAATCCACCATGAGGAATACTTATAGATGCATGCTTTTGAGGTCTACTTCGTACTGTCAATTTATATTTTAGGGCTGCTAAGTTCCCGTTAATAAGGCATTGACTAAGCTAGGAGAGTTAAAATGAACTCTAATTTGACTTTGTGAGTTCTCGGACATACAGCAAGCCTTTACACAAGTAATTGCTCATGAGGTAGAGAGCTCGGGACAAATTGTCTTTTTCCTTGAAGCTGCACTGTCACCCTCCCCCTTAAAAATGAGTATTTCATAAATATAAAATATTTATGAACTACTCATATGGCCAGTGTTGGAATGTCATTGAAATTCCAACGCAGTTAAGAGTTATACTAAGACAAAACAGGGATTATTTGGTCTCAGTATATTTTTTTGTACGCCTGACACTTTTAGACCCTGAGTGGAGCTACCGTAATCTAGAAGTGCAGGGAATCTGACTTATCTATGGAGGGTCTCATAGGATCCTCCATAGAACTCAGTGGTGTACTCTGTCATGCATGCGAGAAAGTACACAAGAATCTGACTTATCTATGGAGGGTCTCATATGATCCTCCATAGAACTCAGTGGTGTACTCTGTCATGCATGCGAGAAAGTACACAAGTGACGTCTGCTCCTTGCTCAAAGTAAAATTCACCTTAGCCTGCCCCCCCAGCTGTGATGTCACCATCTGGGGTCATTAAAAATTCTGCAAAGTCCCCAGAAGGTGACAGTGCTGCTTTAATGCATTAGCAATATCAGCTATATCAGGCTTAAATGAATCATGGTATGGTAACAATGCAATATATGTGTGCGCAAAACATATGGCCATAAAAAATTGTTAAATAATCCTGTCTGAAATAATTAAGAAAATTGTGAATTGAAGGCCTGTTGAATTGCTTAAACATCAGCATTCTAAGATGTGAAATTGAAGCTAAAATGGGCATGTACAGTTCTGGCAATGTGATCTTCTGAAAGCCTATAAAACTATTTATGGAATTGCTATTCTCCATGGCTGTAGCAGAAAGGATATTGGCTGGATGGGAGATGTGTTGCAGGTGTATTATATGTAGTTTGTTGAACCCTCTCACAAATTCAGATTAAGTAGTCATCACACATATTACAAAATGCATTGTTTTGGTACTGCTCTACACTTGGGAAGTAAGGTTTTTGTGGGGGTTTTGTGTGTCTCTAAAAACTTTGGTGCTAATTACTAGATTTTGGCCATCACTCCCCGGCATCCTGGAGTGGTAAATTATTATTATTTGAGGTAAATGTGAGTAGAGATTCATGTAAGGGACCGCTTAAGTGCCATGAGCTCTATAATCTTTGGAAGGAGTCTTTGGGTGGAGTCCTCCTGGTTTTCCTCAGACTGTTTTTGACAAAAAAAAAAAAGCTGTGTGGTCACAGCACCTAAAGCCTAGTGCCCTCTTCTGCCACCTTAACAATATGGAAGTTACACTGCTACATTATCTGTGCAAATCTGTCCAAGTTTGTATAATGATGTGTTGCAAAGTCTGAACTATCCCAAGTCCAAATTAAATAGGAAAGTGCTTGCCTACAGGTGTCAATTGGTTAAAACATAACATTTAATTCATTCGTTTAAAAGCTTGCCGTTGATAATCAGCAAATATACCAAAAATGATTATTAAATTCTAAAACTATTAATAGTGTAGAACAAATGACAAAAAGAAAAATGTATAAAGACAATTTAAAAAGGGACTATTGTAGAATAATCCTAATCATTTCTGAGATTATAGATAAACACAAAAAGAATTCAGCGCTAGTAATCACAAAATTAGTCAAGGTAGGCAGCAACCCAAATGAAGGAAAACCCCTCGGGTCCTTCGGTGGATAGATACAAAAAGATATGGAAGTCTGCGCCAAATAAGGGTAGATAGTCCAGTAAAGTATTGCTAGGGTGCCAATAGATGGTCTAGGATACTTGATAAAGTTCCTCTGTGGATGCGTCTAGTGTAGACCGTTCCGTATATGTAAATACAAGAGAGGTAGAGGCGACTAATGGTATAGTATGAAAGTTCAGGGTGTGATAGATAACAAAAAGTAAAGAACTCACATTCAAGAGAGCTATGGCCAGCTCTGGTGTGGATTGCGTACAGCGGTATAATCCCCGCTTATGGGATATGTAGGGAGGGGGTCTCCGTCAACACCGTCTGGTAGTCCAGAACTCGGAAAAGAAAGACAGAAAGCAACAATAGTGCTCTCAATTTTGATGTGGTTCAATGTGCAGATAAGAAGAGGTAAAAAACTCACATTTGAGGGAGCTATGGCCAGCTCTGGTGTGGATAGCGTACAGCGGTATAATCCCCGCTTATAGGATATGTAACGGCGATATGTCTGTCAGCACCGTCTGGTGATCCAAGGCTCCAATATAGAAGAATAAAAAGCAGCAATAGTGCTCTCAATTGTGATAGGTTAAGAGAGTAGTAGAGAAAATAAAATAATACTCACAAAGATAGAGCTGAGGTACTGCTCTATGGATAAACCTTGGTTGGAAAGTGCCCCTCAAAGCCAATTCCTTCGTCTCAGAAGGAATTGCTCTCAAATAGAAGATTTTAACAAACAATCAAATTATCTAAAAGAAAAATTACTCACCAACCCGCCTCAACACCACTATAAATACCATCACCAAAAAAGATAGAGCAGACCTCCTAACTTACAATACCCAACCCACCACCAACACCATGCCCCTTCCTGTTATTTTCAATTTTCAAAGCGGGGATTATACCGCTGTACGCAATCCACACCAGAGCTGGCCATAGCTCTCTTGAATGTGAGTTCTTTACTTTTTGTTACCTATCAGACCCTGAACTTTCATACTATACCATTAGTCGCCTCTACCTCTCTTGTATTTACATATACGGAACGGTCTACACTAGACGCATCCACAGAGGAACTCTATCAAGTATCCTAGACCATCTATTGGCACCCTAGCAATACTTTACTGGACTATCTACCCTTATTTGGCGCAGCCCTTCCATATCTTTTTTTTATTTCTGAGATTATAGCATGAGTCCAAGTTTAAGTAATTAGTAGTGTACATTTAGAAATGCCAGTGAAAATGAAGTTGGCAATTCTAAGAGACACAAAGTATCAATAGAGTAAAATATAACCACTAACTATAGTTTAGTATACTATGGTATCAATTTCCCTTAAAGGGAACTATCAGTGTAACTGTGCTAGGTTATACACTCCATAGGAGAGGAACTCAGCCTGAAAATCTCTTATCAGATACAAGAATCGGATTGTTCAATGCATGACTCTTTTCCCAAATAGTTCTGTTCACCGATCATACTGTGAGTTGCTAAACTGTGCCTTCAAGGGCACCTAATCTGTATAAGAAACTATCTGCTAGTCTAAGGTAAGCACTAGTTTGGGAAAAAGAAAGTCATGCAAATGCCCTGCCTATCTCTCTTGCAGAGGACATAATGTCTAAGATCTAATAAAAAAAACAAATGTCTTAAAGTGATCGTTATAGAGTATAGTGCAGAGCAGAACCCTGACGTGCGTTTCAAGGGGGATAGGACCGTTGTGACAGGGTATATATCGGGAAATTCTAACCGAAGTTCACACAGCTATCATTGCGGTTCAAAACGCTATGAGAAGAACTAGAGAGACAGAGTGCACAAACATTCTTGGTTCATAACAAAAAAATCACTAGTTTTGTTGCTTAGAGTATCCATTTAAAGGACCACTATAGGCACCCAGACCACTTCAGCTTAATGAAGTGGTCTGGGTGCCTGGTCCAGCTAGGGTAACCCTTTTTTTTAAATAAACATAGCTGTATCAGAGAAACTATGTTTATAATAGGGTTAATCCAGCCTCTAGTGGCTGTCACATTGACAGCCGCCAGAGGCGCTTGCGTGCTTCTCACTGTGAAAATCACAATGCTTTCCTATGAACTGGCTGAATGCGCGCGCGGCTCCTGCCTCGCATGCGCATTCAGCCGATGACGTCGCTAGGAAGGAGGAGAGGAGGAGGAAAGCTTCCCGCCCGGTGCTGTAAAAGGTAAGATTTTAACCCCTTCCTCTCTCCAGAGCCCTGAGGGTGGGGGCACCCTCAGGGCACTATAGTGCCAGGAAAACAAGTGTTTTCCTGGCACTATAGTGGTCCTTTAAAGAAAAGCGATTCTTAATCTCTGATTTGAGACCTAAAATTGGATCCCTATATTATTTCATTGTCTCCCCAAAACATCACATCGCATTGCTCATATCTCCTGCAGCTGTCTACAATAAATAGTGTACTGTTATGACACTGCTGTCCCCTTGAGATCAGTCTGACATGGGGAAGAATATAATGAGTTTTTTTTTTTTAGTTAAACTGTATTTTGTTTAACAGTTGAAAAATGGGTGACTGAACTATTTTTATATTTGAAACCTCATTTACCAACTGTTTACCATGTAAATAATTTGGGTCAGTGAGAAAATGGTTACACAAAACTGCTGTCTACTAACTTTATCATCTCTGTGTGTCCTCCCTTTACTGAAATTATTTAAATATAAGTGTCATTGGTTACTTCTGTAATGTGCTGTGCAAGTCCTATAAACACAGAAATGGGAATCACACACCAGGCTATGCATATTTTAATTACCAGTGCTTCTGGATTTATTGCTTAGTGATTGTACAGGACTACTTATTAAATAGTCTAACCGTACTCTGTTTAGCCCCCTTATGCGTGATTTATTACTGCTGAAGAGACCATAAAATTGTACACCATGCATACAAGAATCACTCCACTCAAAATACAAGCTATAAATCATTTAAAGTTATGTCTCATGTAAAATATGGGGAGCTAGTAACATGACCTTTTGTGTCACTTTACCCCACTCCCTCTAGCATGTAAGCTCATTGAGCAGGGCCCTCAACCTCTCTGTTCCTGTGTGTCCAACTTGTCTGGTTACAACTACATGTCTGTTCGTCCACCCACTGTAAGGCGCTGCGGAATTTGTTGGCGCTATATAAATAATAATAATGATTTGGCCTTATCATGCTTAGCACACTAAAGTACCGCAATATTTGTTTGGCCTCACTTACTTTTCTATCCTACTCTTCTAAACTGTGTTTCATACAAAGCATGACTATCTCTCTTTGCTCACGTATGTAAACTGTCCACTAATTTATATTCCTCTCTGCTATATTTTTATGTGACAGCTTTCCACTGCTTTAAACAAACAATTGTTGATTCTTATAAAGATGCATAATTATTACATTGCTGTCCAAATGCTGAAATTATGTTGCCTTACTTGTCAAATACAAGCATTTATATTGGAGGTGTACACTCAGATCATCTTCCACAGTGCTTTGTGCCCTCTGTGTCTGTGGATAACCTGCTTACATTCTAGAGAATTTTCATTGCCCTTTAATAAATGCAAGCAGAATCTCTAAATTCTCCAGTCAACTGCTGACTACTGCACATACCTTGAATTTTCCTTTCTCATCAAGTTGCTCTTTGCTGCAAGCACATTGAGCCACTTGAAGACAAGCTTTTTTGAGTTGATCGCATTACTACTATATACTTATATATGAGTGTACTGGGGGGAGACCTTTTAGACTGCTACTGAATTATCTGTGCCTTTTTCTGTTGGGAATCATTAGTTCTGCTGTTTGCTCCCCTTTTTTAATTACTTTTGTGACATTTATTTATTTATTTTACTTTTTATGTAGTGCATTTAATTTATTATAGGGTTTCTCCACCCAAAATACAGTGTTCTTAAAACACTAGTTTCGGTTAGAGAAACCCTTCCTGAGATGATCCACCCCCAAAAAATCAATTTATACTTAAGAAATGCTAAAACCTACCCCATTCCATCACTGACTCCAAGTTCTTCCCTCAACTCAATCCTCTGACGTCACTCCGTCTCAGAGAGGGAGGGAAGGACAGGGGCCGCACGGAGGGGTAGGGCGTGCTGCCATTGGCTGCCTGGCTCCAGCATGCTAAGGGATAAGTCTCTGTATGTGCAGCATTTCAAAGAGAAGCGCTGCACATATGTCTCCAGGAACCATGAACACGTCAAATCATTGAAGTGATTATTGTACTCGGAGTGACCATTTAATATTTCGATCTTTTGTTTGCATCAGATAAGTATTGTGTTTTCTGGCAGTTTATTGCAGAATTTTTAACTTGGCATATAGAGCAAGGCAATATATTTGCATGGCATTCTCACTTAATGGGACATAATTTTGGAGGTGCAAATATCTGCCAGAATACACAAAGTTGTCACTTTTTAAAGTGCTTTAAAACACTTTACTAAATTGGAACATGTTTTTGAGCGCCCTAAAACACACTTTTCACAACACTTTCATCCATTTGTACACTTATTGCCTGATAGTGAAATCCCATTCACAAGTGAAGAGCAGAGAAGTGAGTGGGTTTTCACTATCCAGTAATAAGTGTACATTATACTGTATTACACAATTCTTTCCTTTTGTTCACATTATATGATATTGAGATGTTTAGGAGATATATACCCATACTTTGAGCTGAAAAAGTGAATTATACAGTGGAAGTGCTTCTTTCTGACTTGACTGGAAGTAGATATGGTATTGCACTTTGTGACAAACTGAACCTCGTCACGGGTGCTTGGAGGAGCCTGCTGGCCAGCCTCTTGCCAAAAGACTACTGGCCAAGTCAACAACTGTAAAGACCCATATTTTATTCCTCCGGGTTACCCTGGTTCTGCACTTTCCATAAAACAGAACGCTAGCTCCATTGCGGCCGTTCACATGGACCAAAACCGCAAAGAGACTTCAGTGGGAACTATATGCCCTGGAACTATATTCAGCATGAAGACTTCGTGGTTTCCGGCCGGTCCCCCAGCAGCACTTAGCCGCGATTCTATGGAACCGTTTTGGGCATGGGACCATGCGTGCGGTCGGTAAAAACTATGACTTCCAAGAAATTCCTGAACCCCTGAACTGATCTGGGTGATTCTGGGATATGTTGGTCACCCAGATCAGGGCTATCAGGGGATGTAACTTTGTAAGGATTTTATGTATTTTAAAATATTTTTGGGGTCTTGTAAAAATGTGTGTTTTTTCTGTGTTTGGAGATATTTGAGTTTAATATAGTGCTTGACTCAATTATCTCCTAAGTAAAAGGGAAGGCTTATTGTATTGTATATGGGAGTGTCATGCATTGTAACACTGTTATTATTGGTCTGTGACTTTGTAACGGAGTTCCCCACAAGGTCCATGTGGGAGTGCCCCTTGCATTGGGATTGCCATAAAAGGCCAAGTGTGGCACCATTAAAATCAGTCCCTCTTTACCCTCAACATAGAGCCTTGTCTCATGTGTGGAGTTTACAGTTATATTCACTCTGTGGATTGCTATACTCCTTGTACTCCCTGGAATTATAATCACTAGCTCTTATAAGAGATGTTCCTGCTATACTCTCTGGAGTAGGAGAGTTTCACCCACTGAAAGCTGGATCCTGGTCTTGGGTCCAGGGTGGGTGGAGGACAGTGAGACCCCAACCAAGCTGCTTCGGTTTGTGGGGTCTGCTGTGCTGATGGTGTCTGGTGGAGTGCTTGGAGTCCTCGGTGAGCACTAGGAGCATCGATTGGCGGAGGCACCAGCTCCGGGTGCCAGGCGGTCTGTCACACACTTTATTAAAAATATTGCACTTACATAAAGTTTTTTGCACTGGCAATTACTATAACACAGTGCCATTATTTATTCTTGACACTTTAACTAAGGTTGTTGGAGTGTTAATCACTTTATTTTATTAGAGCATTCTTGTCTGTCAGAAAGAATTAGTGCACCTTTTCCTATTTGCTGTTTTTATTTAATGTGTTTTGTCATATATTGCCCTTTAAGAGGCACTTTTTTTTCCAACATTATTAGTTTTTTGGGCACATATTTAAACATTTTAGACTTTGGTCAGCGCCTCTTTACTTGTTTTGGAGTTCATAAAGGTGTCTTCTGAATTTTCTTTGAGAATTTGGGTAAACATCACTGAGCTGGGAGACTTAGTTCTTGTGGGGACCCTTGTAACAGAAGGATAAAATGGCTTGCCCTCAGTGGAACCTTTTAAATTCTCACGGTTATATTTTGTGCTATGTTATGTTCAGGAATATCTAGATTCCGTATACCTAACACTTGGCTTATTAGTTGAGAGTGCCTCCAATATTTTCCATTATCTTGTCACTACACCTGTTTGAAAAATGTTAAACTAATGTGGAAATATCCACTGGCAATCATATTGATATTAAGCAAAGTATTATTGTACATTCTGCTGGGAACCTTTATGGATATTTTACAAATCAGAAGCCTGCTCAAAATAAAAATCTTTAATCATGCAGAAGCCTTCTTTATTTTCCGCAAATGATGCATCTTTATAGTGTTTAATAATTCATGACTTGCGCAGAGAAAATGAGCTACATGAACGGAACATTTAAGTTGCATTAAACACTATCATTACATTTCCGATTCCTTGTAAATAGGGCCTACTGGCTGTAAAGCAGCTTGTTTGGTTTCAGAGATCAGGCATAGTTTTATACTTTGCAGGGTTATGGCACACTTTGCATGCAGATGCGCTCCTCTGCTGGCTCCAGTATTTCTCACTTTCAGAGAAACTTTTGTAGAAGGTAACAAGCAAGGAAAAGTGCTATAATTTAATGTGTATTTAAATAGCTGTGGCTCTTACTGAATAACCATGTTGACATGTAATTCATGGAAATGCATGTCTACGTGCCTGATAAAGATGAATGTCTGTTCTGATTTTTTTAAAAGGGTTACTAAAGCCAGCATGACCACGTCAGTGATTTGAAGTGGTCATGGTGGTAGGAGTCAGAATGCGTGCAGTGTTTCTGCTTGAAACACTGCACATATAGCTATATTTATAATTGTGTGTTGGCTGTTTAATGTCAATCTGTACATAAATTACAAATCAGCGCTGACAACAGACATAGATCTTTTACCCTTGGAAGGGGAAGCTAGTTCTCCTCAACCTTCCACATTGTGCTCCCCGCCACAGCATTACTCTTTGTTTAATAATTTTTTTTTTTTTTTTTAAAAAAGCTCCCTTCCCATTCCCTCCCTTTGTCGTGCCTAAGCTCACACATGCACTTCAAGTAGGAAAGTGGCCCAATCACAGGCTTCTCTGTGAAAAGCCTGTGTTTGGATCCTGCAGGCACTGTGATGTCAGGAGGGTGCCCGCAAGAGCAGCACCAGGAGCAGAGCCCGTTGTTGGAAACAAGGTTAAAAATAAAGTTTTATTTCAGGTGTTACTACAAATTGAGAGGGGGGACCTTCCCACAGTGCCCAGTAGGGCATATTACGCTCGAAAGGTCCTCCCTCTCAGTATGGTTTTAGAAACTCTGCATCTTGGGGAGCATGGAGGCGGCGCTTGAGGGAGCAGTTCCTCTCTGCTCTCTCATGCACTGTCTAGTAATGCCAGAGCCGGAATATGATGTCACTCTTACCCTGGCATCACTACAGAGAGCAGCCCCACTAGACCCCAGGGAAAAAAATTAAAATGTTAGTTTGAGTGTGTGAGAAAATATGTGCGTGTGTGTCTGTCAGTGAGTGTTTCTGTTTAGCTACCTGCCCCTCTCCGATCGCATGAGAGAAGTGTTTTTACTCTCCTTTTTTCCCATGACGTGCCAGTTTTGCCACGACTGGTCACACCTGCACGGCTGAGATGATCGATCTTTATGATCTCAGCTAAGATATATGCCAGTCAGCATCTCCTCACTCACAGAGATGCATTGAATTAATGCATCTCTATGATGAACATTCAGCGCATCCATGCAGAGCTTGGAGAAGCTGAACGTGGGCGCTGCACACTGCAGCTAGGACCTAGGACTTTAGTGACTGTCAAGTCTGCAGGGACAGGCTACAGACACCGGAAGAACTATGTTAAGCTGTAGTGGTTCTGGTGATATATAGTGTCCCTTTAAGAATTGCATTTTTCTTGTTGAAAATTAAAGGGACACTATAGTCACCAGAACAACTATAGCTTATTGAATTTGTTCTGGTGAGTAGAATCATTACCTTCAGGCTTTTTGCTGTTAACACTGTCTTTTCAGAGAAAATGCAGTGTTTACATTACAGCCTAGTGATAACTCCACTGGTCACTCCTCAGATGGCTGTTAGAGATCCTTCCTGGGTCATGGCTGCCTAAAATGCATCCAAACAGTCAGTATCTCCTCCCTCTGCATGCAGACACTGAACCTTCCTCATAGAGATTCATTGATTCAATTCATCTCTATGAGGAGATGCTGATTGGCCAGGGCTGTGTTTGAATATTGCTGGCTCTGCCCCTGATCTGTCTCCTTGTCAGTCTCAGCCAATCCTATGAGGAAGCATTGTGATTGGATCAGGCTACCACTTCTGCTTCTACAACTACAACTTGTTTTTCTGAGGCAAACAGCATGCAGATCTACAGCTTCAGGCTTGAATACAGGAAGATTTTGCTACATTTATGGAGGCATTAGGGGCCCAGGAGGGCTAGATGGTGGTTTTAACACTATAGGGTCAGGAATAATGTTCATGTTCCTGACCCTGTAGTGATCCTTTAAACGTTGTTAGTTTAAAAAAACAACAAACAAAATAAGGTCCCCTAACTTTTTTAGCTGGCTACTGGAATCCAAACACATTTTTCAAACCCTGCCTTATTATATATAATTTTGTTCAGGAGAAACAGGGCTTTCATTTCACATCAAATATTCATATATGAAACGTAATTTAACATGAGTAAAATCTAAAAAAAAAAAAAAAAGTGAGAAATCTAGAAAATTTTGTTTTTTAATTCTGCATGGCATTTTAAATGTCAATGTCAATGTGAATATGGTTTGCTTTTACTGCAATAAAATACACATATTTTTATTCAGCGATGCCTACCGAGTAACTTTGAGACCATATAGTAGCCCAGGAATGAGAATTACCCCCATGATGACATACGATTTGCAAAAGTAGACAACCCAAGTTTTTGCAGCGTTTATGACCAAGTGGCTACTAAAAGACTGGACATACCCAGTCTTTTAGTAGCCAGTTGGTCATAAACGCTGGCCAAGGTTAGCATTCATATTTGCTTGTGTGTGAAAAATGCAAAAAACTACACTATGAACAAGTGTTCATACTGTAGTGTATATTATATCACTTTGTGAATCAATGCAGTAACACAGTAAGACAGAACAAACAAGAGTTAGAATGTCACTTTATCCGTGCCTTTATTTCTAGCCTTGAATAGATATCTATGCCTGGTACAATGCCAGTTTTAATGTTATATAGTGTTACTGTCAATTATCTGAATTTTTTTAATAAACCTATTCACTGTAGAATGATGGACATTAAATTGTTTGGAATTCTGTGGAATGCAGTAAACGTTAAAATATGAGTTTTCAAATTTGCATCATAAATTTATTTAAAATACACTGCCGAATTCAGATTTAGTGCATAAAACTACACTGAGATGTATTTTCTAAACTCAAGAGCAAGAAAATGTCAGTTACCCTATTTCCATGTTGTCGTTCATCACAGTGCTGTTATTATGGGTTATGGCATACTAGAAGGCAACTGCATTTACTTATTTGTATTATTGTATAATTTTTAGTTTTTTTTCTATGCAGGTCAAAGTATTTCAGGACATGTTCCAGGGGAGAACATTTTACTATTGAGGTTAGTGCTTGCAAATAGTTTTTTGCACATCTACGATGCTCTTTCCTTGAAAATGTTTATCTCTTAAGTATCTTGCATAATTATATCATGACATGACCTAAAAGCACATAAAACATGTTTTTTCTCTTCATGTGTGAAATATTTACATTATAATGGAATTACTGTATGGTGGCCTTTTTAAAAACTTGAGATAAATAATAATTTTTTTTTTCTTTTTCTATGCATGTTTTCCTACTGAAATAATTTTTAAAGGAGCACTAATACGATGGTGCCATAGTTTCAATTTAGGTGATCGGACCCCCAATGCAAGGGTTAGAATGGTGAGTTTACTTACCTTTACTCCCTCGCAGTGCTGGTCTCTGGCATGCCCCTCCGCCTTCTTGGCTGAGATTATTGAGAACGAGGATCTAAGCCAATCCAGTGCCTTCCCATAGGAAAGCATTGAGAGGTTGCAAAATGCCATGCTGCACTAATCGGATGGTCTCATAAAGGACCATTGGGGGCCGCATGTGCAGCAAGCGCTGCATACTTCAAATTTCACTATAAGAAAGCATTGAATCAGTGCTTTGCTACTGAGTCTACAGTCACATGACAGAGTTTTAATCTGTTACTTTCTAATAAACAATGTTTTACATTGGAGGGTTAAACCTATAGGACCACTGTACCCAGACCACTTAATTCAGGTAATGTGGCCTGGATGACTTTAGTCATTGCAATTTTGTTCATTATGCCACAAGACATATCTAAACTTTGATTCGCTTTATGTAAGTTTCAAAGTTTTTGTGATGAGTTCTGCAATAGCCATCAGAATAGGCCTGATTAGGTTAGATCCCTGACTTCAGAATGAGAGGTTACCATTTGGGTGCAGTACTAATTTAATGTATCCTGTTGATATACAATCTAGTAGTACTTGACTTGTGTTCTGAAAAACTTTAAATGTCTTCTTATTCACAACCTTCTTTTTCACCCAAGTAAATCTTTATTATTTATCTGTAAGCTATCTTTATATTTCAGGCAAAGTGATCCATCTATAATAGAACAAATATTATTAGTAATGTATGCATTATTGTGTGAGATAACCCTGCATGGTTGAATTTTCCACTGAAGTGGAGGTATAATATTAACAATTTTAGGATAGGTTCTGAATAAATGTGTAATAATTAAAATTAATTGCTATATCTGAAATGGGTTGTAGAAGTGCATAGTAACAAAATTCTATGTTTCATTCCAACAGTTTGAAAATCTTGTAGAAAGTGATGAGGTGAGTAGAACTGTCTGTCTCACATTCATATTATTTCAGCATTACATTGTCAGGAACCTGCACCTTTTACATTATGGAATTTTCAGTATTTTAAATAAATACTATAATTTAATTCTCCAGGCAGGGCATTGTTTGGTTGGAGTTATTCCTACGAACAGTATTTTGCAAACAATGCTTTATGCTGTCTATCAAGTTATCATTCTGTGATTTAATTAGCTCATGGCTCTTTAACAAATGCAACATCTGTTACTTTAGTTTGTTCCTGTAGTTTTAAGTTGAGCTATTATCAGTAATCAAATATACCCGCTGCTATCTGTGTGCAGTGTCTTTAATGTTTTAAAACTACTTGCTCATGCAGATTAAGCAAGTGCGTTGTGAGATTAGGGACATAGAGTAGCCTAGGGGGCAGAATGTAAAATACTAAGACACTTACGGTAAAGAGATTAAATTACAGATATTACCATTATTATTGTTTATAAATCGCCATTAAATTCCGCTTAGTTTTTTCATGCTTCAGCTAAATACACTGCCAGATTATTTAATGCTTAATGTTTGTACACTATATATAAACTCCTGATTACTATTTCAACAGGGGGAAAGTCCAGGAAGTAGTCAAAGGTAAGCAGTGGTGATAGTCACGGTTTATTTTAGAACATCTTATATTGTTTGACCCCTTGATTTCATAGTTTGTTTATTTTTTGTCACAACATGATTTTTGCATGTTTTGTTAAATTTGTTAATGCTTGTTCAATTTATGATGTACTCAAACATACAATAGACTATTTTTGCTTAAGGACAGATGGGCCTCCCTTATGTTTTTTTTTTGAAAATATGTTTATTTAGTAAATTGGAGAGTCAGCAGTTAGAACAGTATAAAGACTCGCAGGTCTAGGTACGCATACATTGTAAGTGTAACAGAGGTAGGAAAAATTGGTGATCCATGAGATAAGGAGAAAAGAAATAAAACATAAATAAAATAAATTATTAAATAGTCCTCCCTTATGTTTTGATCTATTTTGGAAGCAACATACTTTTGTTTAAATGCAAGAATTTATTGGCATTGCCAAATAGGAAATAACTGCCTTTCAAAGCCTGTATGAGAGAGATGGGAGTGAAAGTACTGGCTGTGTTAATTAAAGGTAATGTAGAATGTAACTCTAAGACACATTTTGTATTGGTGAGAATCATGGGAGATTGCCCAAGGCACACTGAAGGCAAGTATACCCTAACCTAGCCCTATATACCAAAACCTTAAACGTAACCCTAAACCAACCCTAACTCTAATGCAGAGGTAATCCCTCTAATGCTGAAAATCTGGATGTTTTATGACCATACAGCAATTGTTTTCAGCAATCTTCACAAACCAGTGCCAATCACTGTCTAATATAACTTGTAGAGAGACCCAACTTGGGTCTTTTTTAAACCCCATCGTTCTTCCGATCATTGTGAGTAAGACTTTTCTCAGGAGAGCTAATGGAAGCTGTTATCAGGAGCTTACAGCTCTCTCTTCTGGCTGCGGGCGGGGATCGGTGCCTGGTAAACTCCAGGTAAGAAGTTAAAAAGTTACTAGACTGTATGACTACTTACATTTGGGGGACGTCAGGGCACTCCATAACAACTACAGTCCACTCTAAGTGTTCAGTATATACTTAAGTGAAGTTTAAATATTGTAGATTGAATCCACAGACAGTACAGTACCCTGGCTTGAATGGAGCCCGTGACCACCTCCTGACCGCTGCTCGCACCCGTACGGCCAACTCACGCTTGCAGGACCTCTCGCGAGTGGATCCTCTCCTTTGGAATAGCTTGCCTACTGCCATCAGACTCTCCTCTAGTCTTCAATCATTTAAGAAGGGTCTTAAAACCCATCTCTTCAGGAAAGCATATGGCCTCCCAGAGTAATCTCTACCTTACATACCTGTCTCCTGCTCTCTCCTATGGGACAGTGCTTTGCTCTCTCCTCCAGCTCTGCTTCACTCCTACTTGATATTTCCTGTCCTAATGTTTCTAATACCCCACCTCCTATAGTCTGTAAGCTTGTTTGAGCAGGGTCCTCTTCAACCTATTGTTCCTGTAAGTTTTCTTGTAATAGTCCTATTTATTGTTACATCCCCCCTCTCAAAATATTGTAAAGCGCTACGGAATCTGTTGGTGCTATATAAATGGCAGTAATAATAATAATAAGGTAACATTGAGACCACTTTTTCTCATGTAGAACAAGCAGATTGAAAAAGGTTTGGGCTTTAGTCGACCTCCAGCAGTCTTTTTCAACTATGTCATTGGCTGTACTCACCTCTTTCTAGCGTGGCTTCACAAGGCCTTAGCATGAATTGGGAATGCACATAATTTGAAGTGCATGCCAACTATGGGCAGATTATATTAGAAACTTGAAGATGGCACCTTCTGGACAAGCTTCAGCTTAACCTACCATTTTAAAGGGTTGTCCAGACCCTCCTGGTCTTCTTTCTGGGCCCTGCAAACTTAGAAACTTTAAGATGGTGGAGCCTAGAATTGACAACCTTCTAAAATGTTAAGTTAAGCTGCTCCCAAGGTCCAAAAATGGTTGGGAGTGTCTCGTCGGTACAAAGGAATGGATCCTTCCGTTCTTAGATGAGCAATCCAAAAAGTGACTGAACCACTTTAACCCCTTAAGGACACATGACATGTGTGACATGTCATGATTCCCTTTTATTCCAGAAGTTTGGTCCTTAAGGGGTTAAAGGGATGGATTGGACCGCTCTGTAAAGTGATCAGTCATTCTCAGCAGAACCACATCTTGGCTCTTTCTAGTGGTAGAAAGAGAGATCTTAACACGGACTGTGCCCTCTCTCTTCCTAGGATAAAGACCTGAGCTGGACATTAAATTTGGATAAAATTGATATGCTAGAGCATATTTCTCCATGGCTCAGTTTATTTGCTAAACCAGCTATTGCAGAGAATGAATAAAGAGAAATGCAGATTTTATGAGTGGAAATGTTCAGCAAGCTGATGGCGGCTATATTCAGAGTAAACCCCTTGGACAGGAAAGGGAAGTATATGCACCGGTTGTGGATATGTTTGAATGGCAATGAAGGAAATAAATCTCCCCCTCCTCCCCCATGTCTGGAGGAGTGGGGAATCACTGCTTTTATATGTCATACTGTGAAAGGATACAGTGACAGGGGACCTCTATGCAACACTATAAACTTCTTCAAAACAGAATAAGAGTTTCTTTATTGGTGGGCTTTAATGGATCTATAGGAGAATTGGACATATGACAAGATTACTTCCATGGACTAACTCTCCTGGGAAGCAGATTTTACAGATGTCTTCCTTTTTGTTTGCAGACCTTTAAGTGAAGAAGAAATAAGTGATTTAAGAGAGAGACGTTATGAATCGATCGCAAACAGACAGCAGTTTGATGACATCAAGTTACAAGATGAGGTAATGGAAATGTTGCTGGTAATATTTAGTCTCCTTGCTGTGACTGGTGTCACAGAGCAAGTATGGCAGACACTTATCCCTTTGAGTGCTGGAAATGTGTCCAACAATGTGCTTTTGGAATGTGGACACTTCAATCACATAAATGGTTACATGAACAGTACAATTGCATTTATAAATGAAAGTTTGATTACGGTGTCAGTATTGAAAGGGTTGAATATACATAAAGAGTCAGCATTAAGCAGCTAACGGTGTGTTCTCCATTTTTATTACATTGCTTAAAACAATATACTACTTTTTTTTTTTTTTTTGGCAAGTGCTCTGGCAATATATTTTATCCATTAACATTTTCCAGAAACACGTGGAAATCGATGTTTGTTGGCCATCCAAATAGCAATGTGATTCCTTTCCCCTTATACTTTTCTATTAAAGCATTTCCTGTATCACTGCTGAATGTTATGTTTCTGCCGATAGCTGCAAATGGAATTATTTTAATACAGTCTTTGTGGTTACAGTATGCTAAGCTTCTTAGCCGCTGCAAAAAAATGTTTAATACATTACGCAAGTGTTTATCACTATCCAGTGTTCCATGAATCCTTTATATGGCAAGCAGTAGTGCGATAAGTGTGAATACTGTTTATATAAAATACTGAGTTTTTCTGTCACCTGACATACACAGTGTCATACACATGGGAGAATTCAAATTCAAAGTGAATTTTAAATTTAATACAAAAGTAGCCGAAATATAAGCAAACATGATTTTTCCATTTTGACCTTAAATTTAACATTTACTTTGAATTATTACTTTATTGAATAACCCTCATTGTATTTGAATATAGAAACACATGGAAGCTTTGAAACCTTTTTTTTTTTTTATTATTTTTTTTTTTTATCATTTGTTATTCTCTTTTTAATTTGTTCCGAAAACACATATTTTTGTGTCTGACTGGCAGCTTGCATCTGATGTCTATTTTGAACAAGTTGATCATCAGAATATTTATGAATGGGTTTAAAAATGTTATGTAATCTGTTAAAAACAACTTACTCATATTCACTCAATATAATTGGCATTTAATCTTGTCAAAATAATTAGGTGATTTTTTTTTTTTTTTTGCTGCATGAAGCTGGATTTAAAATAAAACCTAATTAAGGTTCTTTTTTCCACTTTACTGCAATGAAAAGTGTAATGCACCATGTGTTTTTTTATTTTTTATTTTAGACTCCCTGAAAATTCAGTTTATTTAATTGACTGGCTTAACTGGGCATTTTGTAAATTGAATCCCAAAAAGCAATAAAAGCCTTCCTTTCTAATTCTCTCCTTCCTGTGTATCCTGCTCTTCCATTTCCTTCCCTTTCCCTCTTTGTTCATTTTCTTAACCTTCTTTGCTTATTCCATCCTCTTTCACACTCTCTAAACCAGCGATTGGCAACCTTCGGCACTCCAGCTGTTGTGGACTACATCCCCCATAATGCTCTTACACCCATAATGCTGGAAAAGCATCATGGGAGGTGTAGTCCAAAACATCTGCAGCACCAAAGCTTGCTGTGCATGGAGAACATTTAAAGTGATTTTAATTAGCAGTTATCAAGCACATAATCAGCTATCAGAAATATTTAGTTATTTTTTAAGCTCGGCGTGTAAAACTAAATTGTTTTATAATTTAAATCTTCTAAGCTGTAATTTGAAATTTGTTTATCGTTGAACCTTGTTTTTTATTTACAAAATTGTGGTAATTATCCAAACAAAAACTTAATTTATTTGGAATATAAAAAGGACTCCGCAAGCCATAATTTTAAGAATGAACAGTTGATAAATCAAGTGTTATTTGATGTTCCAAAAATATTATAATGAATTCTGAATAATTAGTTTTTTTTGTTTTTTTAACATGTATATCAGTATAAGTAATAAACAGTTTAAAATTGTTCTACTTCCCAGTGTGTAGTATTTATTTACAACCAGCAGAGGTCGCTGCTGCCGTCTGTTCACTAAAAATATTGAATCACTGGAGTCAGATGTTGATAATAGCTAGACAGGGAGGGGAGGTGTAGTAACCTTATGTCGACTGTAGAGGTCTCCTCAACACCATCCTGTTGACATGCCTGTTCAATATCCTAAGTATAAATGCATATAAAGTCTCATTGAAAGAGGGAGAAAAGATGGCTGTTTCTAGATCAGTGGTTGCAAACCATTCTGACCTCACAAACCACTTAACTCACAATTTTGAATCCCGCGGACAACTAACATGAATTTTTTTTAAAAAGGTACAAACATCTATAAAATAATGATCATAAGTTAAATTTTACTAGTATGAAATCGACTTGTTTATTACAGTTAACGCATGTTTAACTATAACAAAATTATAAGTGTGATATCTGTTGCTGGAAAATTATAAGTGTGAATCCATTAAAGGGACACTATGGTTACCAGAACAACTACAGCTTAATGTAGTTATTCTGGTGAGTATAATAGTTCCCTTCATGTTTTTTGTCATGTAAACAATGCCTTTTCAGAGAAGGCAGTGTTTACATTACCTCTAGGGACACCTCCAAGTGGCTACTCCTTAGATGGCACTGGAGGTGCTACCTGGCTCAGTGCTGCCGAAAAAGCAGCACTGACATTCAGAGTCCCCACGCTCTGCATGGAGACACTAAATTTTCCTCAGAGAGATGCATTGAGTCAATGCATCTCTATGAAGAGGTCCTGATTGGCCCAAACTGTATTTGGTCCCACCCCTGTGCCAATTTTAACCAATCCCATGCTTTCCCTAGTATTCCTTTAAAGGACCACTATAGTGCCCTGAGGGTGCCCCCACCCTCAGGGTCCCCCTCCCGCCGGGCTCTGGGGAGAGGAAGGGGTTAAAATCTTACCTTTCTCCAGCGCCGGGCGGGGAGCTCTCCTCCTCCATAGCGACGTCATTGGCTGAATGCGCATGCACGGCAGGAGCCACGCGCGCATTCAGCCAGTTCATAGGAAAGCATTTACAATGCTTTCCTATGGACGCTGGCGTCTTCTCACTGTGATTTTTCACAGTGAGAAGCACGCAAGCGCCTCTAGCAGCTGTCAAGAGAAACTGCTATGTTTATTTAAAAAAAGGGTTAACCCTAGATGGATCAGGCACCCAGACCACTTCATTAAGCTGAAGTGGTCTGGGTGCCTATAGTGGTCCTTTAAGTTTATGGATTCTTGGTGGCCTGGAAGCCGAAGAAGATGGCGGCGTAAATCCTGAGCTCCCTACCAGGCTCCACACAAACCTCGCCGTAAGCACCATATTGCCTCGATCATGGGCAAAACACATAGAGCGTCGCAAGCCTCCAAACCCGCTGACACCCCCAGGGGGAACAGTCACCCTACCCTGCGGCAGTATCTGATCACACCGGCGGACCCGGACACGCAGGCCTCCAATGACTCGGCGGCCTCAGAGGGGCTGTTCTCTCCCTTCCCGCTTGACGGAGGAAGCCCTGCAGAGATACCGGCAGCAGGCACTCCAGCGCCGCACCCCGAGTGGGTGGATATGCTCCGCAACCTGCCCACTAAAACTGACCTGCAGAGGGCGAACAACGACCTGAGAGCCTCCATCACAACGGAACTCCAGGCCATGAGGGAGGAATTTTGCGGCCTACGCCAGAGGGTATCTCAACTGGAAGCGGACTGCGACCACGTGTCATCGGCGCAGTCCGCGACTACTGAAACCCTGCAACATACCACGCAACAACTCCGGCAAATGGCGTATCACCTGGAGGACCTCGACAACCGGGGCAGACGGCAGAACATTAGGGTCCGTGGGGTTCCAGAAGAAGCTGATGATGCCACCCCTGTACAACAGACCCTGACGGGGATATTCAACAGCCTTTTAGGTCGTCCCCCACAAGCTCATATCAACCTGGTGAGGGCTCATCGTGCACTTCGGCCGAAAGGGCCCCCTGGGAGCCCACCCCGGGATATCATCTGCTGTATAGCCAGCTTTCAACAGAAGGAAGAGATCTTGAGGAAGGCAAGAGACCTGGGAAAAGTCACCTTGGAAGGCACAGAAATACAACTGTACCCAGATCTATCACCTACAACACTGGCGTACCGCAGGGCCCTACGCCCCTTCACCATGCAATTACAATCAAACAAAATTAGATATCGCTGGTGTTTTCCGAATGGGCTCCAAATCCAGACACCAAAGGGCCCATACGTGATCAAGGAGAAGGCCGACATGGACGCCCTCGCAAGAGAGCTACGAATCACGCCAGCGCCTATACAGTGGCCTGACCCCCTGACACTATACACACCAGCCCCGGGTCAGGGGAGACTGACCACGGGATCCCAGAATCAGAGGACCACACGCCAGCAGGCAATAGGCCCTCGAGGCCAATAGACCAACGGGACATTTGCATGACACCTGTACCACGAACCCCAGAGCAGATACCGAGACGACCATCTTGAGGAATCCCCCACCTGGCCTACAGAAAAGGACTTCAGTCCAGATCGGACACGACAACTCGAACTCGCCCCATCCTGCTCTGAGCAGAGGCCATCACCGGCGAGCCCCCGGCTCCGACCACCACGCACGACACTGGACTGAGACACACGAGACAGCATCCAACGGAGAACACTACAACAACGGAGACAGAATTTCCCAGCCTACACTGAACACCTGACACAGGACTCACGAGCACACCATGGACTTGAGACAGGTTACTCCACCACGCTGAAACACGCTGGGCCGGAGGAGAGGACACTCGAACTTAACTAGACCCTAATATCATGCACGCAAGTACTAAATGTTGATGTAAATTACCATGGGGTCTAGGGATATGAGAACACTATGGGGGGAGTAGCAGGGATGGGAGAGTAACATAGCTCACCCAGATAGACACGGACTTGAGGGGGGGGATCCCGGACCGGGCTGGGCAACCGCACCCCCCTGGCGTGCCTGTGATGACCCATCGGGAGCAGGCGGGGGGTCGGGGGCCCGGCTCGCTCGGGCATCAGACCTAGCCATGGGACACACACAGTCAGAGGCCAGACGAACCCGGGCTAGGCCCACGGGTCAGGAGAGGCTCAGAAGGTAAAGATAGTCAGCCCACACATGTGGGGAGCTCACCCGGACTCTCGATTAGGTCCCACCGCCAGCAAAAACCACTAGAGGTAAAGGTGGGCGGGTCGGGGGCCCGATCACCTACATGAGCGCTGAAGGTGGGGGTCCTGAAAACCATGGTCTGGAAAGCACAACCCAGGTTCACACGGGGACAGGCATACACAACAAGGGACAGGTGCCACTGCAGTGCCCGGGCACAAAATGCATATCTTATGTTTTAAGTTTTTTCCTCTTTCTCTCTCTTTTTAAAATGTTTAAGTAATGTTGAATGTTAAAGTTGAAATATAGACGCATATCGCGTATTAGGCGAGGACCCAAACCCGTGACACCACGACTGACAGAGCCGTACAGGGAACACACGGGAGACCTACTGCGCACATAGTTTAGACCGCAGTGGAATTGTAGAGCGACTAACTCGCGACATACACCGACAGTGAATCAACACCCGCTTGGAGGCTTCGGCCTTCCTTCCACCCCCTAAGGGACAGGCGCTAGGTACAGGTGGGCCGGACGCTAGGCCTAAGTGCAGGCACGGGTCTCAGGGACCACCCAGACGCCACTACCCTAACGCCGACACAGCGGCGGACTTCCCACACTTCCCCTACCCCCGACCTACCCCTACCCCACCGCCCACGCCCGGACCAAAGACAGCTACTACCGCACACGACTGACGGCAACCAAGTATGACGCTCATACCGGCTAGCCTCATGATCCTCTCCCTGAATGCAAGGGGCCTCAACAAACCAGAAAAGAGGGCAACTGCCCTAAGAGACTTTCACTCCGCCAGTGCGTCCATAGTATATTTACAAGAGACGCACTTTAAAGAAGGGTCACGACCCAAACTGCACGACCACCGATACCCCACGGGTTACTTTAGCGACTATCACGGGGGTAAGGCCCGGGGCACCGCGATACTACTACACAAAAGAGTACCACTACAGGAGATGGGGGTCCAAACAGATAGGGAGGGCAGATTTGTTTTCCTGAAGGGCACAATCGCAGGCCAGATCTACACATTCGCCAACATATATGTCCCCAACCAGAGACACTATAGATTCCTCTCACGGACTCTTCGCAAGTTACAGGCATTCGCCCAGGGCGTCCTAGTACTGGGGGGAGATTTTAACCTGGCCCTGGATCCGAAGTGGGACACCTCCACGGGCACATCACATGTCCCAGCCCAACAATTATCCGTAATCAAAACTCTCCTCACCAAACACAAGCTAGTTGATAGTTGGAGGGCACACCATCCTGACGAGAGGGACTATACGTTCTATTCACATCCCCACAACTCATACACTAGGATTGACTATTTCTTCCTGCAACACTATCACCTACCACTGGTGGTACAAACAGAACACGGCACGGCGACATGGTCTGACCACGCACCGGTAGCACTCACATTAACCTCCCCTCTGTTTAGACCCAGGGTGACTAAATGGCGACTTAATGAGTACCTACTCTCCGAACCCACAGTTAAATCCGACACCGAATCTACCCTCAGAGAGTACTTCACCAACAACACACCTGACCAAACAACCCCGACAATAGTGTGGGAGGCGCACAAAAGCGTAGTGAGGGGCCACCTAATACAAAGGAGCGCCACACTGAAAAAACAGAGGGAAGCGAAAATGACCGCCCTTCTGGCAGACATCCAGAGGCTAGATAGCCTCAACAAAAAAGAACAGACACACACACAACAGGAACAATTGCTATCCTTACGTAGAGACCTGACTCGACTCCTCCAAACCAGATACCACCGAGACGTACTACGACATAAGTCGTTTTTCTCCTTACATGGTAACAAAAGTGGCAGATTACTGGCTCGGATGCTCACTAAACGTAGACAACAGACATACATAGACCGTATCCGAGATAACAAAAACACGCTACATCGACTCCCCACTAAGATCCAAGAGGTAATTAGGGCATACTACGCGGACCTATACTCCCTCCCGAGGCCGACGTCGACCCAAGCAACCAAACACCTAATGGATACCATTAACGACTACCTCACCACACACATGGCACACACATTAGGCAGGGACACGGTGTCCCTCCTAGACGAAGAAATCACACCGGAGGAACTGGCTGCGGCTATTAAGCGAACAAAGCCCGGCAGAAGCCCGGGCCCGGATGGCCTGCCACTCTGTTATTATAAGACTTATGCGGACATACTATACGAGCCCCTCATAGCAGCGTTCAACGCGGTCAGGGAGGGCCACCACTTCCCCAAACAGACTTTGGCAGCATACATCACCGTCCTGCCCAAGGAGGGGAGGGATGGAGAGCATTGTGGAAACTACCGGCCGATATCCCTTATAAACTGCGACCTCAAGCTGCTGGCCAAAATACTGGCCACCAGACTACAGACACACATACCCACGCTGATACACCCGGATCAAGTGGGGTTTGTACCGGGGAGGGAAGCCCGCGACAATACGATACGCACGCTCACTCTGATGCACGGGGACAGGCGCTCGCGCGGAGACCTCCTCCTGCTATCTACAGACGCGGAGAAGGCCTTTGATAGGGTCAACTGGGATTACCTGTTCCAGACCCTCTCGCGTACGGGACTGGGCCCGGGAGTCATGGGGTGGATAACGGCCCTATACACACAACCATCTGCCCAAGTGATAGTTAACGGGGCGTTGTCAGCACCGTTCAACATACTAAACGGCACACGTCAGGGATGCCCACTATCCCCACTGCTTTTCGTTCTAGCCTTAGAACCGTTCTTAGTGGCAGTTAGGAACAATCCAGATATAACGGGAGTGATGGCAGGGACGACACACCACAAAGTAGCGGCATACGCAGACGACATGCTCTTTTACGTGACAAACCCGGAAGTATCCTTACCCAACATCCTGAAAGCCTTTCGGGACTTCGGTAGGATATCTAATTTAAAAATAAACCTCTCCAAATCATACATTCTAAACATTGATATCCCGGCGCGACGGGCAACACCGCTATGCCAACACTATACATTTCAATGGGCCACGCACAAAATAAAATACTTAGGAATCTGGTTAACACGGAAAGCAGGGGACATGTTCAGGGAAAACTTCACCACCATACACACGAAGTTTCGCACGGAAATGCAGGAATGGGCATACCCACACATCTCATGGCTTGGCAGGATACAAGTAGTCAAAATGAATTTTCTCCCCCGCCTCCTGTACCTCTTCCAAACCATCCCCATTACAGTCCCCCGCACATTCTTCGTCACGCTCCGCACTGCCCTCGGGCGATACGTCTGGAATGGGAAACGACCAAGACTCAGACATACCCTATTAACGCTACCGAAGGATAGAGGAGGCCTGGCATTGCCGGACTTCACTCTCTATTATAGGTCCTGTCACTTCCTCTGGATAATAGAATGGTCCAAACAAGGGGTGCAGAAGCAATGGAAACAAGCAGAAGAAGTCGAGGCAGGTGTCCCAGTCGCGGTCCTGCCATGGCTGCCTCCCGGGATCTGGAGCAAGGGGAGGAAATGCTCCCCATACATCAAGGCTACTCTGCAAGAGTGGCACCGCACAAAGGATAGACACGAGCTAGCACCGTACCCATCGCCCCTTCTCCCACTAATACACAACCCAAACTTTCCACCGGGACTGGACCCAAGGGCTTTCCACGCGCTGATCCAAGACCCAATCCCCAGACTTAGCCACGTCTATACGGCAAATGGCCTCAAGACACTCAGGGACTTGAGGGGAGACGCAGACTTTAACCTCCTGATACGCCTAAAACACAAACAACTCCAGAGCTACATAGCAACTCTCCCACAGGGGCCCATTTTATCGAGAGCTCCCACATACTTTGAAGACATATGCCTACACCCAGACCCGTTAACCCACGGAGTCTCCCTCATGTACACATCACTTCTGACTCAAACACCAATAGCACAACCAAGCTTTATGGGGAAATGGGAGGCAGCACTGGGTCGTACGATTCATAAGGCAGACTGGGAAAAAATTTGCTATCTCACGCACCATTGCTCTAGCTTCAGCAAGACGCAGGAAACAGCATACAAACTACTGACACACTGGTACTGCACCCCCGCGGCACTACACGAACATATCCCAGAATACCCCCCAGTGTGCTGGAGATGCGGAGAGGGGACGGGCACGCTTCTACACATCTGGTGGGAATGCAACAAAATCGCACCGTTCTGGAAAGCCATACACAAAATTATAGGGCAACTCTCAGACGACCCACCCCCATTCGGCCCAGCAGAAATGCTTCTACACCTCACTAAGGTCCCTAGGACCATATATAAGAAATCACTGACGATCCGCATACTAAACGTAGCTAAAACTACCATACCACAACACTGGAAACAGCAGACCACTCCGCCACTGAAAACTTGGTTCACCCAAATGGAGGAGTTGAGGTCCTTAGAAGAACTCCACGCCACAGCGAATAACACACACCAAACCTATCTCAATATATGGACGCACTGGCTACTGAAGTCGACACAACCA